CATTTGGACAACTTTAAAGATGATTTTCTCAATATTTAGATTTTTTTGCACCCTCAGATTCCAGATTTTCAAATATTGTCCGATCCTAACAAACCATACATCAATGGAAAGATTATTTATTCAGCTTTCAGATGATGTAAAATGGTCATACACCATATATTTCACTATATAATTGTAGCCTTCACATGTATAATGAAACTAGTACACTAGGACACAAGTACTAGTAAATTACAGCAACGTTCAATCACGAAAACACACTCACTTTATTAGTTGTCAGAACATTCCACACACACACACACACACACACACACAGTTACTCACAGTCTGCTGGACTGAGCTGATTTCCCCTGAGAATGAAAGACAGACAGAGTTACGGCGTGTGTGAATGTCGTGTCTCTTAAACACTTTGGTGTGTGTCGTTGTGTGTTTGACAGACCAGCAGCAGATCCTCATAACGAGAGACGTCCTCCAGCGACACACGCGTCCTCTCCTGCTTACCGAGCGCTGAAACACACACACACACACACACACACACACATAAACACACAGACACACACAGACACACACAGACACAGATAGAGAGATGAATGAATGCTTTAACATCAATAGAGGAGTGTGTGTAACTGCGTCCAGCAGGTGGCGTTTGTGTTCGTGATGCTGGATCACGGTTAATGTTGGAAGCGTCTGGTGTTCCGTAACGCTGCACTCACTGGACTCTGGATGCAGGAACGAAGGGTTTCTGTCGAACTCGGTGAAGCCGGCGTATGAGTTCACCGTCCGCATGTGACCCTGCGCTGCCGCCGCCTGCAGAAACACACCGGATTGAGCCAAACCAGAGAATCATCTTCTTTAACATTCAGAAAACTACTCACCGCATCCTGAGCCTTTCTGGAGGGACTCGACTGCTGGCTGCTCACAGCAACCTCTTCAGGGAACGACCTCTGACCTTCAGGATCATCCTTGTGACCTTTGGAGAAAAATTAGTTCAAAGCATTACAGACCAAACCACACTAGACGTTTATTCTGCGTTTACACCGGCACAAGAAATCAGATTTTTTGCTCACATCTGACACAGATCAGAATTTGTCATAAACACAAAAATCTGCACGAGATCCGATTTCTTCACATCCGATCTGGGCCAGTTCCAAATGTGGATTTTAATCCGATACATATCCGATATCTGGACATCTGAGCTACGTCTGAACACACACATCTGATTCCCCACAGAACTTTTTTCAGGTTTGCTTCTAAAGATAGCGTTTTAATGCCGGTGTGCCGTTTCGCTCATATTTTATTGAGATGGTTTTCAACCAATTTCAATAAATACAACAGCTAAAAGCTACATTATATTTCTTAGCAGGTGAGATGATAACTTAAAAGTTTTTGTAATTAAACCAACAGGCTTGAGGGGAATTATATAAATAATTTTAATAGCACGGCTATTCGAAACCCGAGGGTCTACCGTGTGCATAGTAAAGCGCTCACTGCAGACAATCTCTTCATCAGTAATAATAATGTAAACGCAGATATCGGATACCAGTCGTGTCTAGGGGTGTGCGATATTGACAAAAAATAATATCTCAATATTTTCTGGGATTTTATCGATAACGATAATTAGACGATATTTTGCGGAGTGTGTTATTGTGCCACTACCACAGACAGCTGACTCCTAATGTTTTTAATATTCTTCATATTCTGTGTGGTGGTCAGTTCACACTGAGAGAAATTAATCTTTTCCAATAAGTTTAAACTGATTTTTACATTTTATGGGCATTTTTACTTTTATAAAGCCATTTTTTATAAAAGTGTCCATTATCTTTTGAGTCAAATTCTTACATTTAATCAGGGAATTAGAATAATAAGACATTTGGGCTGTTACCAAGCAAATGAAAGCAGTTTCAACAAAATTAATCTTTGCAGTGCAGAGGAAACTCAGAAGCTGCATCTGAAGAGGCGTTTAGATGTGTTTACACACTGTTTAATGAAGGACATGAATGCATTTAACCTGCCATTACAAATGCATAAATAATGTTTTGATATATTAAACATAAAACAGTGAATACTGTTATTTGAAATTATTTAAATAATAAAAAGAAACTTTAAATGTGAAATTAAAGCCACCAGTAGGTGGCAGCAAGTCACTGTTATTAAGTGAGTCACTGTGACTGAACCGAATCATTTGAATGGTTGATTCATTCAGGAACTAAACCCAGTCACGTAGAGACTCAAAACAGTCGCGTTTAAGTGAATGTAAACAGGCGGGCCAAAAAATCAGATATGGCCAAAAGATCGGATCTGTGCATCATGACTTGGATTACAGTCACCCTGTTAAACGTTCCCCTCCGATGACACTGAGCTTTAACCAAACCCTTAACCAGCACCAGCCCGGGTTAGTTTAGTCTACCGGACACACACAGCACTATATTCACTCCCGAGGGACATTTAGTAAAAAGCAACTGGTTGAGATGAAACCACCGCCAGAGGTCAGAGGTCACCCGTCTCACCCTCCCTAACACACACAGGGGCATGCGGACGGGGTGAGGGTCAAGGGTCACGGTTATTCCCAGCGGTGGACCGAAGCCAAACCTCCACTCCTCTGTCTGAGTCTGTTCAGCGCGCGTCTGCAGCAGCCATCTCTCCGGAAGCACGGGGGGCCCCGGGGCCCGAGCTCAGCGGCCAGAGGGAGGGGCGTGTTTCTTTCGGGCGGGTCGTCTTCATCGTCAGCGAAGGCGTGATTGACGTATCCTTCGCGCTCAGGGTCACTCACGACCACCACTGGGGGGCCTCCATCACTTCTCTCATAAACACCCTCCTCTTCCTCCTCATACTCACCCGCGAAGGCCCCGAACTCCTCCGCGGCGTGCGCCGGCTCCGTGTGTGTGCGCGAGTCCGTGAGCTGTGACGGCGTGCTGACGAAGAACGTGGCTGGAGCCGGATCTGACCTCGATCCAGCCTCGGGGCTCCGAGGAAGCGCTGCCCCCTGTCGCTCCTCGGCTCCGCCTCCAGCTCCGCCCCCAAACAGAGACTCTGCTATGCTGGCGGCGGGAGGCAGGAATCCCACGCTGCACCGCACCAGCGCGCTCGACTTCGAGTGCCCCGTCACGTCGGGCCCCAGGTTCTTGGAGACGCTGAGCTCGCGTGTGATCTGGTTGTGCACTTTGCTAGCCTCGGACGCTCGCTGCGCGGTCAGCGCCTTTAGCGTGTCCACCGTGAGCGCCGACAGATCCTGCAGGTGTCCGATTTGAGAATCCAGCGTGTGCAAAGAGCGCTTGATGAAGTTCACCTTGTTTCCGACCTCCTTCAGCTGCACACACATCGTTTCCACCCTAAAAAACAAACAGGTAAACAAACATTTCAGTTCATTTATTTGTATAGCACTTTTCACAATACATACTGTTTCAAAGCAGCTTTACAGACAATAATCACAGCACCAGGGGTTTTAGGTTTCACATTTACATTTATGCATTTGGCAGACACTTTTATCCAGAGAGGTACACATCAGTCCTCACTTTCCCTGGGAATCGAACCTGTGACCTTAGCGTTGCTAGCACCATGATCTACTGTTTGAGCTCAAGGACGGCTAGTTTGGGTTTGGGTTTCACGTTCACATTCACACTACTGGCAGACGCTTTTATCCGAATCATGTACTTGTACTGCATTCAAGGTATACAGTTTTTCAGTTCATGCATTCCCTGGGAATCGAACCCGTGACCTACTGTTAGGGGTTCTGTAATGTTTGATTTCATGTAAACATGCTCATGGATCACGCGATCCCTCAGATGTCAACAAAAATAATTTCAGGAACAGCAAATGTTGTTAAAATGCACCTGCTATCGGTGACTGAACTGAGCAAATCTACTAGCCACAAATGTGTCCAATTGCCTGTAAAAGTCTATTTTTATATAAATATAATGTTTCACTTTGACAATGTGAGGTCACAGTAACAGCAGCACCGCAAAAATGATTTTCTTCCTTAGTATTTTGTTGTTTCCTAGTATAAATATCTAAACTTTCTTGAATCAAGATGCATTTACTTGACAAGTAAAATGATTTAAGATATTAGGTCTTGTTTTCTAAAAAAAAATTATCAATTTTGTTAGTTTCTCCTTAAAACAAGCAAAAATATCTGCCAATGGGGTAAGAAAAATAATCTTGTTTAGCCTTTGAATTAAGATTCTCTAAGATTTTCTTGAATTAAGAAAAAATAATTTTGCTTGATTTTTTCAAACTTTTATATATATATATATTTTTACAGAAAACAAGACATAATATCTTAAGTCATTTTACTTGTACAGTAAATTCATCTTGATTCAAGAATCTTTCGATATTTATACGGAAAAAGACGACAAAAATACTAAGAGAATAATTTTTGCAGTGAGGTCACAGAGAGACACTCATTTCATTGACGCTAAAAGAGAAGAAGAGTCTGACAGTAAATTTTCCACTAAGGAAAACGTGATAGATGTGATCTGTAAATTTTACTCTCAGACTATCGATTTTAATATTTTATTTCAATCATGCATTAAATGCTGCAGTTAATAACTGCTCACTAAAGAGGATTTCTACTGGCATTGTGTTGTGTTGTGGACCCTGATGCATGAGAATGCCGTTCATCATCGTACCTGTCGGACGTGAGTCTGATTCTCTCCTCACTCCCAGAGTGAAACTGATCGTCTTTCTCATGGAAGTACGTCTCCACGCACTGCTCCTCGAAGTCGTGCAGCTTCTTCTGGTCCTCCTCGGTCAGGAAGAGCTCTGAAAAACAGCAGGACAGTCAGAGCGCTGACAGACGCGAGCAGAAGAGGCGGCACGAGCGAGATGTGCATACACACACACACACAGACTCTCTCTCACACACACACACACACACAGACTCTCTCTCACACACACACACACACACAGACTCTCTCTCACACACACACACACACACAGACTCTCTCTCACACACACACACACACACAGACTCTCTCTCACACACACACACACACACAGACTCTCTCTCACACACACACACACACACAGACTCTCTCTCACACACAAACGTGGCTGGAGCCGGATCTGACCTCGATCCAGCCTCGGGGCTCCGAGGAAGCGCTGCCCCCTGTCGCTCCTCGGCTCCGCCTCCAGCTCCGCCCCCAAACAGAGACTCTGCTATGCTGGCGGCGGGAGGCAGGAATCCCACGCTGCACCGCACCAGCGCGCTCGACTTCGAGTGCCCCGTCACGTCGGGCCCCAGGTTCTTGGAGACGCTGAGCTCGCGTGTGATCTGGTTGTGCACTTTGCTAGCCTCGGACGCTCGCTGCGCTGTCAGCGCCTTTAGCGTGTCCACCGTGAGCGCCGACAGATCCTGCAGGTGTCCGATTTGAGAATCCAGCGTGTGCAAAGAGCGCTTGATGAAGTTCACCTTGTTTCCGACCTCCTTCAGCTGCACACACATCGTTTCCACCCTAAAAAACAAACAGGTAAACAAACATTTCAGTTCATTTATTTGTATAGCACTTTTCACAATACATACTGTTTCAAAGCAGCTTTACAGACAATAATCACAGCACCAGGGGTTTTAGGTTTCACATTTACATTTATGCATTTGGCAGACACTTTTATCCAGAGAGGTACACATCAGTCCTCACTTTCCCTGGGAATCGAACCTGTGACCTTAGCGTTGCTAGCACCATGATCTACTGTTTGAGCTCAAGGACGGCTAGTTTGGGTTTGGGTTTCACGTTCACATTCACACTACTGGCAGACGCTTTTATCCGAATCATGTACTTGTACTGCATTCAAGGTATACAGTTTTTCAGTTCATGCATTCCCTGGGAATCGAACCCGTGACCTACTGTTAGGGGTTCTGTAATGTTTGATTTCATGTAAACATGCTCATGGATCACGCGATCCCTCAGATGTCAACAAAAATAATTTCAGGAACAGCAAATGTTGTTAAAATGCACCTGCTATCGGTGACTGAACTGAGCAAATCTACTAGCCACAAATGTGTCCAATTGCCTGTAAAAGTCTATTTTTATATAAATATAATGTTTCACTTTGACAATGTGAGGTCACAGTAACAGCAGCACCGCAAAAATGATTTTCTTCCTTAGTATTTTGTTGTTTCCTAGTATAAATATCTAAACTTTCTTGAATCAAGATGCATTTACTTGACAAGTAAAATGATTTAAGATATTAGGTCTTGTTTTCTAAAAAAAAATTATCAATTTTGTTAGTTTCTCCTTAAAACAAGCAAAAATATCTGCCAATGGGGTAAGAAAAATAATCTTGTTTAGCCTTTGAATTAAGATTCTCTAAGATTTTCTTGAATTAAGAAAAAATAATTTTGCTTGATTTTTTCAAACTTTTATATATATATATATTTTTACAGAAAACAAGACATAATATCTTAAGTCATTTTACTTGTACAGTAAATTCATCTTGATTCAAGAATCTTTCGATATTTATACGGAAAAAGACGACAAAAATACTAAGAGAATAATTTTTGCAGTGAGGTCACAGAGAGACACTCATTTCATTGACGCTAAAAGAGAAGAAGAGTCTGACAGTAAATTTTCCACTAAGGAAAACGTGATAGATGTGATCTGTAAATTTTACTCTCAGACTATCGATTTTAATATTTTATTTCAATCATGCATTAAATGCTGCAGTTAATAACTGCTCACTAAAGAGGATTTCTACTGGCATTGTGTTGTGTTGTGGACCCTGATGCATGAGAATGCCGTTCATCATCGTACCTGTCGGACGTGAGTCTGATTCGCTCCTCACTCCCAGAGTGAAACTGATCGTCTTTCTCATGGAAGTACGTCTCCACGCACTGCTCCTCGAAGTCGTGCAGCTTCTTCTGGTCCTCCTCGGTCAGGAAGAGCTCTGAAAAACAGCAGGACAGTCAGAGCGCTGACAGACGCGAGCAGAAGAGGCGGCACGAGCGAGATGTGCATACACACACACACACAGACTCTCTCTCACACACACACACACACACAGACTCTCTCTCACACACACACACACACACAGACTCTCTCTCACACACACACACACACACAGACTCTCTCTCACACACACACACACACACAGACTCTCTCTCACACACACACACACACACAGACTCTCTCTCACACACACACACACACACAGACTCTCTCTCACACACACAGAGAGACACTCATTTCATTGACGCTAAAAGAGAAGAAGAGTCTGACAGTAAATTTTCCACTAAGGAAAACGTGATAGATGTGATCTGTAAATTTTACTCTCAGACTATCGATTTTAATATTTTATTTCAATCATGCATTAAATGCTGCAGTTAATAACTGCTCACTAAAGAGGATTTCTACTGGCATTGTGTTGTGTTGTGGACCCTGATGCATGAGAATGCCGTTCATCATCGTACCTGTCGGACGTGAGTCTGATTCTCTCCTCACTCCCAGAGTGAAACTGATCGTCTTTCTCATGGAAGTACGTCTCCACGCACTGCTCCTCGAAGTCGTGCAGCTTCTTCTGGTCCTCCTCGGTCAGGAAGAGCTCTGAAAAACAGCAGGACAGTCAGAGCGCTGACAGACGCGAGCAGAAGAGGCGGCACGAGCGAGATGTGCATACACACACACACACAGACTCTCTCTCACACACACACACACATACACACAGACTCTCTCTCACACACACACACACACACACACACACACACACACACTCTCTCACA